TATATATATATATTAGATCTCGTGGCAAGTTGAACCACTTGCCACGAAGAAAGTTGTTGGTGCAGTTGCACTCTATATTTACTAACTTAAAATGTTATACCAATAATTTAGCAAAGTTAGGGTAAATTTAGTATAAAAACTCACCTTGGAACCCCAATTACTTTCATTCTCATAGTTGCAACTTGATACTTGATGGGCTAGCTGTAAAATTTCTTGGGCCTGAATGGGCTTCTTCACATCATGATCTGGGAATAATTCTGGAATTTCGGGTTTCTCGAACAAAGATGGATTCCCAAAGAAAGCCCGACGACGGAAAAAGCATCCAGTTCCAACATAATTGGGCCCACGTAGCCCATCCATGCCCACTGGATTAGTATGAAATAGGCCTTTTAGTTCACTACCATAAATATCTGTGTCGTTAAGCCCATGAAATCGTTGAGGAAACTGGACGTAGGCTAAATTGGGCCGTAATGTTTGGTCCAAAAAATAGCATAAAGCCCGTTTAGGTGTTGATGGATCATTAGAGTACATGTCACAATCCAGTGTCAAAATTATTGGTGCATTGGTCATAATTCCCGATACTCGAAGCTATAAAAAAAAATTATACAATCAGGTTATTTAAAGGCGAATTACACATAACTTTATACAAGCGAAAATATATAATTAAGAAAAGATTATAATAACCTGTTGTAACTAATCTATGTTGATTTTGTAAAAATTATTTAGACTGTCAGTGTATGATATTTGACTAGATTTTACTTACCAAAGCATTGAGGGCACCTGCTTTAAAATAATGAGGGGAGTTTTTGCTTTTCTCTCTTGAAAGATAAATAAGATTTGGCATCCCATGACCTGTTATGTCTCTGTCTTTGCCACTTTCTAATAATACCTGTTCCAATCATTTTAGGCAAATGTAGACTATTAGCAGCAGATGCAGACAGGGGCGAAGCCCCCTTAAATGGTTAACTGATCACCATTCGTCGAGATATTACGAAAAATTACACTGTATATATAAGTAAAATATTCGAATTAGATGTATATAATATGTATTGAAAAATTACACTGTGTATATATGTTAGAAACTTTTTTTTTACTTCTTTCAAGTCTGAACACCTTTGGAAAAATTTCTGGCTTCGCCACTGGATGCATATATATATATATATATATATATATATATATATATATATATATATATATGGCAAACCTGAATAATAGAGGGATGGTTATGGCGAGTAAATCCAGCAATCCAATATTTGCTAAAAGCTTGACGTTCTTCCTCGTTGTTAATATAATCTTCCTCCACTTTTCCCCTCTCAACCACATTTTCTATCCTTGTTTTCATGTTTTCGTACATCAACTGCACAAAAAGATAAAATTATAAATTGTTAAATTCCCTTTACACCGAATATTTTTAGTGTAATTTGAAAGCAGAATAAAAATAAGAAGATGTCCCTATAAGAGCTGTGACATTATTATTGGCAATCAAAATTTATGCATCAAACACATGATTACAATAAACATGACGCATATAGTATATATATATATATATATATATATATATATAAAATTAATTAATTCGTTATTTTGCTGCATATTAAGTGAGTGATGACAAAAAATATCTGATTCATGCCATGGCTATAACGTCAGACGGATTGAATTCAAAGCAAAATGACAAAGAGAAATAGAATGAAATATGTTCAGATAAATGCTGAAATTAAATAAACTTAGGCTTGAGACTAGTCAAAAAAATTGTGCAACTTGCTTATCCTACTACAACGTACCCAAAATTAGCTATTATTCCTCGTGATTTCTTTGCCCCTATATGCCCCTTCAATGATTGCTATAGACAATGAATATACCAAAATATATATTACTAGAAATTAACCTAATGTCTGTTTCTTTCTTTTTCAAAATTATTTTTTTGTACCTTTCTCATCTTTAATTTGTATTGTATCCATTTTTAATCATGTAGAACGAGTTGTAGAACGTGAGCTGTTATGGGCTAAAAATGACAAATAGTGCAAAAGTCTCTATCTAAATCCCCATCTCTGCCAACGTTTAACGTACGTCGCACATGCTTGCAGAAAAAGTAAAACTAATACTAATAATACTTTATATTTAAAAATGCATGCACCAATAACTTAAACCTTAATTAGGAAATCAATTAACTAATTATGTCTTAATATATATATAT